GGCTAGTGGCACGTCAGCCAAGCACAAGCCCATGGCCCCAACCAATTCCTATCTAACACACTGTGCCTGTATTTCTCCTGCTTCAAATCATTCTAGGTCTCTAGGACCAAGGACTCCAGAGTCCAGAGGAGATGTTCATGCTTAGGCCCCCTCTCCTGCCTCACTGTTCCCAGAGAAACCCCATTAAAGACACTAGCCTTGGCTTTTCTGGCTCTGTCCCTGCCTACTGACCTGCCCTGGTGCTGCCCCCCCCCAACACACCTCCCATTCCTGGGGTACTGTGGCAGTAGCAAGCTTTCCTGTTACTACTGTTGACCTCTGTGTGTGCTCACTCAGTCACAACTCACTAGATTAAATGAGGACAATATTTAATTAATGTAAATGTCTCTCCTTCCCACATTGTCATTTAAGTTAGTGAATGTCCACAAATCATAATTAGATAAGTGGGCAAAGACACAGGCGGGTCTGTGACTATCAGAACAAAGAGGATGGCGATCTGGGGCGGGCCAGCCTGCTGCGCATGGGCTGGAGCCAGCACCTCGTCTGCTGCCAGGTCCAGGGTGCTGAAGCCCTTGGGAGTGTGAGTTTGCGATAGGTTCTCCGATGCTGCTGACGCCGGCTCCCTGGATAATATTTTGAGAACTGCAGTTTGGGAGCATGGGAAAATGAGCAGTTGGGGAAAATGACGGTCCCATTAGGATAAATAAATCTCTTAAGCTGAGTAAAAAAACAAAGTTTGAGAGTTTGGGGAAATAATCAACAAAGGCAAACTCTGCCTCACGGAAAGTGGGTGCCTGTCTGGCTTAAACCTTGCTGTCTAAAGTGAGAACACCCTCCTGGCCTCTGAAGAAAGATGGCCCAGGATCCTTTAGGGTATTGGTGTTTGTTTGTTTGTCTGTCTGTCTGTCTGTCTGTTTATGTTAGATGAGGGTTACTTGTCCCTCTTCTCCATATGTTTCTGGCTGACATGGTATGGCCACCATTAGTACTGACAGTGTGTGTGTCCACTGCAGTAGACTCTATACCCTGCTGGGAAATAAGCAGTCAATGGTGACTCAAGCTGTCATCTGACAATCAGCTTTTACATTCAGGACAGCAGAAGCAAACTCACAAGGCCATGGGTCTGGCCGAGCCTGGTAGCAAGGTACCTCAATGCCGGCAAAGTGGCTCTGGGGCATCTGCCCTGAGGTTAATCCTCAGTGGGCTTCTCTAAGGTGGTAAGCAAGGGTTCTGGCCCATTGCCTGCAGTCTCTAAGGCATGCAGCCTGGATTCCTTAGGTCAAACCCCTAGAGGACTTCTACTCTGCCCTTCCATTCCCTTTTCTATAAAATGAGAGGCTCTATTCCCTTTTCTATAAAATGAGAGGGTAAAGCATGCATCTTGAGTTCTCTCTGGCTGGTTGGTCTGTCATTTGTCAGGTTTCCATGTGTAAATGTAGAATGAATTTTTTCTTCTCCTTCCCCTTCCCCTTCCCCCTCCTTCTCCCTCTCCTTCTCCTTCTTCTTCTTCTCTTAATAGCCACTCATGGGCCAAAGAGATGACTCTGCAGTTACAAGTATGAACTCCTCTGCCAGAGTATGGGAGTTCAGTTCCTATGTCAGGTGGCTTACAGCCATCTGTGAGTTCAGCCTCTTCTTGGCCCTGTACACACATGCACACACACACACACACACACACACACACACACACGCACACGCACACGCGCACGCGTTAAAAATAAGAATAAAACTTTAACAAAAATAGTGCCATTCTTACCACTCGTCAACTCAGCATAGTTCAGAGAAACAGCTTTTTCCCACGTCAGTCTGTGTGCAGCCTGCCTTCAGCCTGTGTTACCTGTGTTATTTCCACGTGTTGCTGAAAGTGAACAGCAAGACCAGTACATCTGTGTGAGTGGACCAAGACTCAGGGAGCCAGGCAGACTCGAACAGAGTTAACAGAGCTAACGCAAGACAAGATCAGATCTGATTGTGAATTTCAGATAAACCATGAATGAGTTCTTCATATATCTATTTACCCCAAAGCTTGGGATACAATCACAACGAAAATGTAAAATCAAATACAGTTCCCTATTTAGCTGAGATTCTAATAGCAAAGAATTTCTGTCTCCCTACTCTCCAGGATTCCCTCAAAGATCTTCCACAGGCTCTATGCTATCAGGGGTGGGGGGAGGGGTGAAACTGAATCCTGCATGAGACAGAAACAGACAAGCATGGAAAGCCCCTTCCCACTGCGGGTGAGCAGCCGCTGAGTTCCACATTGCGGTCAGGAAGCTTGTTAACTACAGCCCAACACCACTTTATAAATCATTACCTACTTCCTGGGCATTAACATTACCAAACAGCAAGGGACAACTTGGGAGCTATTATCCTGCAGCCCAGCTCGCATCAGAAACATTAGCTCGTAGTGCATTTGTGCATTTCAATATGGGGCCGCTCCTTCTGCAGGCAACTTCTAAACCTCTTCACGATTGCCCCCTTTTAAAATGATCCTTCTCTACCTGTCCTGATCTAGCTTTCTTTTTGACTACATCACTGTTATGTAATCCATGTCCAGTTTTTCTCCATTTTCCCTCAGTAGATCAAAGACATTAATAAGTACTGTTAAATGCTGAGGGTAAAAAGAATGAAACACTGATTTAGGGACCAAATACTTCAAATATTTGGAAACAGGGCCTCCAAGATGACATAGAGGGCAAGAGCACTTGCTGCTCTTTTGGAGGACCTGGGTTCAGTTCTCAGCACCCATGTGGCATCTCAAAACCATCTGTAACTACAGTTCAGGGGTCTCTGACACCCTCTTCTGGCCTCTGTGGGCACCTCATGTATGTGGTACAATTTAAATACATGCATGCAAAACAGACACACATAAATAAAAATAATCTTTTTTTTAAAGGAATTGGCATCCTCATATATTTTTTATTTAATTTTTTATTTAATTTTTACAAATTATAATTTCATATGTCAATCCCTTCTCCCTCTCCCCCCTTCCCCTAATCCCCCACCATCCCCTTCCCCCCTCCACTCCCCATAGAGGGTAGAGCCCTCCATGGGGGCTCCCCAAATTCCACAACATCATCCTGGGCCAGGCCTAGGCCCTCCCCCATGTGTACCAGAACATAGTATCCCTTCACGTGGGATGGGCTCTCAAAGTCCCTTCTTTTTTTTTTTTTTCATTCAAAAAATAATCTTTAAAATAAAATGTTTGAGAATGTTAGCGCTTTACTTCAGGTTAATATTGCTATGATAAAAACCGTGACCAAAAGTATGTGGGGAAGGAAAGGATTTATTTGGCTTACACTTCTGTATCACTGTTCATCATTGAAGAAAGTCAGGACAGGAATTCAAATAGGACACAAGCCTGGAAGCAGGATTTGATGCAGAGGCCACGGAAGGGTGCTGCCTACTGGCTTACTTCCCCTGGTTTGCCCAACCCAGCTTCTTATAGAACCCAGGACCATGTGCTGAGGGATGACCCTACCCATAGTGGGCTGGGCCCTCCTCCATTAATCACTAATTAAGAAAATGCCCAAAGCCAGATCTTATGGAGGCATTTTTCTCAATTGAGATGCCCTCCTTTCAGATAACTGTAGCTTGTGTCAAGTTGACATAAAACTGTCCAGTGCATTTAGATAATTTGGAAGACACTTGTCAGTCTGGAGCTGGAGCCGTGCTGCCTAGTAAATGCACAGTAATGCTTTCCTTGACCTTACTCCCACCTCCCAGGAAAATAGAACCTATCTAACAGCGACTTACATAGGTTGTTTGTGTCCTTGATAACCTGGCCCCAAAATAGGGCACAAGGACACATACCCAGGTGTGTTTAGAATTCTGCTGCAGGACCTGGAGAGCCGGTTCTATGCTAGAAGAGAAGACACAGAAAGGAGTCACAGAGAAGAAAGGAAAAAGCAGACAGAAGAATGAGTCAGCAGCTTAACTCCTCCATCCCCTCATGCTGTGTGTGTCTCAAACACATGTTGACATCAGGACCAGAGGAATGAAGACAGAAACTCTTGCCTGGGGTGAACACTAAATACAATATGTATGAAAACCAACAAGCAACTATGATATTTCACCTAAATGCCAAAAATAAATGGAAAGATGAGAGTCTAGACAAAGACTCTGCAAAGGTGTGAAACCATTTTGGATGAATTGCTCAAGAAGATGTCACTGAGAATAAGACATTCAGACAAGCCCTGAGGCAGGTGGCATAGTGAAACTCTTGTGGGGGGGGATATGAGGGAGGTGGCTCGGTGAGCATCTTGATGGGGTATATTCTAGTACTTTGGAGAAATGCTAGACTCAACTGAGCTGCTTTGGGCACATTGGAGGTACTGATGGAATGCTCACCATCATTGCCTTTGGCAAACAGCCATCAGTAACCCATTGCCTGTCTACTGTGGTGATCAACTGTGGCAAGAAGGGTTTATTTGGCTGTGGTAGCATATGTCTATAATCCCAACATTCAGGAAGCTGAGGCAGGAGGATATCAAAGGGGTTACCCTGGGCCAGAGGCAAAAGGATGTCAACTGACAGGGAAAGGACTTGAGGTCTGCAAGACTGTGGGTTTGGGCATAGATCTCACACTTGTCACAAAGAACAATTAAATTTGCTTCCGTGTCCAAGTCCAGATCAGTGCAGACATGAGAAATACATGCTACCACCACTCAAGCTTGGAATTCGGTCAGAAAGAAGGCACTCTGGGAGAAAGGTCCATCAGTTAACACATGGCAGTGGTGGTTTAGGTTGTTTGCCAGAAGAGACTACATTGTGAAAAGGCATCGAGTTGTCTGTTGCTGATGACGGTTCATGCATGAATCACATTTTACCTAGGTAAAATGTATTTAGAGAAGGGATGTCGGCATGGATCTAGAATCAGACTACATGCAAACTTCATCATATAGATAAAACCATGTCACAGTAATTTATAGAAGTGCCAACTGAATTTCCATTGGATGAGAGAATAAAGCACAGCCTTGAGTTTTGAGAAACAGAGCTCTTGCTAACACCAACAGCACATACGCTAAACTGGAAGAATACAGAAAAGGTTAGCATGGCCCCCCACACACACACAAGGATGACACATGAATTCATGAAGTGTTGCATATTTTTACAAAAGAAAGAAATGGAGAATAAGTAAGTTAGAGGAAAGCAGATCATAAGAAAAGTAATGAGTCATTTAGACCATGAATCTCAACCTTCCTGTTGCTGTGACCCTTTAATACAGTTCCTCATGCTGTGGTGACCCCCAACCATAAAGTTGGGGTAGTATTTCATTACTATCTCTTAACTGTAATTTTGCTACTCTTATGAATCTTAATGTAAATATCTGATAAGCGGGATATCTGATATATGACCCCTGTAAAAAGGTGGCTTCATACCTCCCTGCCAGGAGTTGTGACACAGGTTGAATACGGAGATAAAGACAGAGGAGGGATTGGAGGGTCCCTGAAACTGAGGCACTAGAGTGAAGGCCAGCAGCTGGGTGGCCAGATAATGCCCGAACTATGCTGAAGACTGAAAGAGGACTTTTTGTACTGGGTGCCTGCCAGTTCTCAGGCAGTACCCCAAACAAGTGGTGTGTCTGGATCGTCTGGAAGTGTGCTAGCTGTGTTGAATGCTTCAGGCTTCACTGTGCTACAGTTTAACATGCACCATGTGTTTGAGGGAAATTGCACTGTTGAGGTTTGCTGGTTGTTGTTTTGAGGTGCCAGGATCACTCCCTGGGGTCTCAGGCATGCAAGTCCATTGCTGCTAAGCTAAACCCCTGGTCCCCTATACGTTCCTTTCTAAGGGTTAACTCGTAGAAATTTTATTCTCGGTGCTTCTTTTAAGTGTATCAATTAGCAAGGGTCAGAAGATCTCTCCTTGGCCAGGGCATCAGAGCAGGCGCTCTGGGTCCCACTATCATTGTGTTGATCAAAGGCCAATATGAACCACTGATAAAGCTCTCACATCATGATTTGGCTTCAAATCATCTCAAGGTTAGAACTGTGTGTCTATGAGGAGTCACCATAAACAAGGAAAAACAGACATTCCAGCAGAGGATTGCAGACAGCAGAATTTGGGAGAAGGCAGAGGCACAGACCACTATCACACTGTCAAAGCGCAGCACTGACTCTAGCCTGGCATCTTCCAATGCAGCAGTGTCCTAGCTGACACTCCCCACACCCCAGGCTCTAACAGAGTGATCAGCCTGCAGATGCCTCAGATTTCAAAGTATTCCCAGCTCTGGTTGGTCTTGGTGCCCTTCTCCCCTTAAGTGTTCCCTTCCACTGCAAACCCCCAAATGATACCTTTCGAGACATGGCTCAGTAGACTCTCATCTAGAAATGTTTATAATATTTGTAATACAAATACATGTAACCCATGTCTGTTGCAGCACTGTTCGCTGGCTGTAAATTAAAATTCTGTAAGTGCCCCATCAATAGTGGATTTGTTCCTCAAATAAGGGTTTCATCCATACACTAGAATACAAGATAGCTATGAGAAGGATCGGTGTAAATACATATCCCTACATGACAAGATGACCTGTATAAAGTGAAATAAGTATATTATTTTTTATTTTATTTTATTTATTTATTTATTGGTTTTTCGAGACAGGGTTTCTCTGTGTAGCTTTGGAGCCTATCCTGGCACTCGCTCTGGAGACCAGACTGGCCTCGAACTCACAGAGATCTGCCTCCCAAGTGCTGGGATTAAAGGTGTGCGCCACCAACGCCCGGCATTAATTATACAGGTGTATGTGTCTGAATGGGAAGGAAATATATTTACTTTTGTCTACATTGAAATGTTATATACAAAATACTTAGAAGGTGATATTTTACAGGCAATATAATAGGAACATTCTCTAAAAGCATTTTAGTAATTTTTAAGTTTACTTTAAATTTGAAACTGCAGTGATTTTAAGTCAGATAATACAAGTATTCTAGCATCATCCTGACAATGTAAGAGTGTATATGTTGATCAAATGGACCAGCACATGTGTAACCACAATCCTTGAGTAAGAAGAGAGAATAGTTAAGCAGAAAGAAAACAAAAACGTTCTGAGAAAATAATAACTACGAATTGTCTTCAGGTATTGGCAAGCATTAAGACACAGATGTGGGGCTGGAGAGATGGCTCAGTGGTTAAGAACTCTGGCTGCTCTTCCAGAGGACCCAGGTTCAATTCCCAGCACCCACATGGCAGCAGCTCATAACTGCCTGTAACTCTAGTTCCAGGGGATCCGACACCTTCGTACAGACATATTTACCAGCAAAACATGAATGCACAGACACAGAAATACTAAGTAAAACATGGATTAACTACAAGACACTGTCCATTCCACAGAGTATGCTCAAGAGCTGAAAATCAAGAGGAGGGACCTGCCGTGAGAGCTGCTAGAGGAGGGGCATATGCATTCAAAATACGCAGACAGAGGCTGTATTAGATGTACAGGGAAATAAAGAGAATAACTGCACATATCTCAGAAATAGTGCAAGCCAGAAGCAAGTTGTGTTTTTAAAGTGCTGAGATAAAACGCTGTGATAAAACCTGAATTCTCTGCATAGCCAAAATATTATTTCAGGAATCAAGTAGAAATATAAACTGTCTTGCTTGGTGTAGTGGTGAACACCTGTAATCCTAGCACTTGGGAGGCTGAGCCAGAACAGTTGTTGATGTAGTTCAAGGCCAGCCTAGGATACACAGTGAGACATCGTCCCAAAATAAGAAACAAAATAAGTAGGGGGAAAAAAACAGCTCTCTCAAAAAGAAGTGAAAACTGAGTTTATTATCAGGGACAATATTGTAAGGAAAGCACTAGAAACTCCTGCAGGTAAAAAGAACACGGTACCAGATAGACAAGGAAAGAGTGCTAGATACAGTATAAATATAAATAAAATATTTTATTTTTAATTTCCTAAAAGACAACTACCTATAAAAGCTAAAGTGACTAAAAAAAATGCATTCATAAAATGCATAGGCATGACACAAAGGAGGTGAGAGAGGGATTTGCAACGTTCATTGTGCCTTCCTTACACTGTCCGCCAAGCAATATGCTCTTATGTGAAGATAGGCTTTGGCGCCTCAAGGTGTATATATTGAGACAGCAAGATGGCTCAGTGGGTAAGAGCATGTGCTGCCAAGCCTGATGACCTGAATCTCATGCCAGAATCCACAAGGTAGGGAAGCTGACTTCTGCAAATTGTCCTCTGAACCCCGTAGGCACTGGTGCACAGACACCATGAACACACTTAAATAAATAGATAAATAAATAAATGATGGAATGAAAGATTCTTTAAAGAAATGAAGATTATGCTGTATCATAAAAAAGAGGAGGAAGGAAGGAAGGAAGGAAGGAAGGAAGGAAGGAAGGAAGGAAGGAAGGAAGGAAGGGTTCTGTAAATACACTAACAGCCAAAACAGACTTACTCTCCTGCACTTGCATGGCTTCAGGAATTTGCACTAATCTACTCAGTGCCTTGGCTCTTTAATCTGCCTTCCTGGAAGAAAGCAGTAGTATTATCACAGAGTTCTTCTGGATATTAGATAGTCAGAACAACCCTACTTCGTGTTGTATTATGTGTTAGCTACTATGGTCAACAATTCTTATTTCAGAATGATACTCAATTTAATGAGAATTTATCACATACACAATTTGAACTGAAGTCTTCATAAACATAATTATTCAAGCACTGCTCACAGAACACACATTACCATATAGACCCGTGTTTTACATATGCAAATACATATAAACTTGAATACTTGGGCCAGTAAATGGCAGTGACTTCACATTTTGCTTCTCTCTGGATTTTCCGATTCTATTTTATTTTTGAAATATCTATGTTATAATGAACTCACAAATGAAACCATCACATAGCTAGATCAAGGTAGCCGCTCAAATACGTACTTACCCAGTCCCAAACCTTACTCGCCCCGGTGAACTTGCACATAGCTAGAATGGCCATTCTGAAGCCATGGAATTTCACTTAAGGTTTTCACTCTTGCTATCAATGATATGTTTATGCATATCTACAATAAAAAAGAAAAAACCACGACAGAATTGAAACTAGAAAGCCAATTAGCTTTATGTTCTCTTTCATAATTCATGTGCCCCTTGCCTGCATTCTACCCCTCCTTATCACCTAATATTACCTTCCTTTGTCTCCTTTCTAGATGTTCTACTATGCCAATGGTTAAGGCTGCTTACATACACTCACGTACATTCTATAGGCCAGTACCACATGGAAGGTAGTGCGTTTCTTTTTCTTTCTGAGTTTTTTGAGTGACCTCATTTAATATTATACATTCTAATTTGATCCTATTTTCCTACAAATTGGGTGATTTCATTTTTCTTTAGAGATGACTAATCCATTTTTATATGTAGAATTTATTTTCACTATCTGTTCATCTGTTTACAGACATCTAGATTGGATCCTAGATGATTTTAAAATAAACATTTGTTCATTAAACATCATTAGATAGTACAAGCAAAAACATATGGTAAAAAAAACCATAAACTAATACTGGAAAAGTGAAAAAAAATATCTACTAATTATAAACACACTCAACAAACAAGGAGTAGAAGGGACTTCCCTGAATTTGATAATGAAAACCCTACAAAGAATATATTAAAATAAAAATCTAAATAAGTACATGATAAATATTGATCAAATAAATACAAGAGGACCTAAATAAATGGATTATATTAGATACTGTTATAATGAAACACTTTGAAGTTTAAAAATTTATCTATAGATCCATTGCAATCCCAATGAAAATTCTAGACTGGCTAGGCCCTGTTCTGTTTGTCTATGTGGTTGGTTTTGGAGAAAGAATAACCATTGTTAAGCTAATTTTAAAATACATGTGCAAAGATAAGGAAGCTAAAATAGCCAAAATAATTTGGTAACAGAAATACAAGATTCAGAATTCATACTATACAGTGTCAAGTCTTACTATAAAGTGATGTCAGTGTAGACAATGAGACCTTGATGAAGAGAGGCACACAACAACCCACACAGAAGTTCAGAGATTGACACATATGGCTGTCCTCTAGGAAGGACAGCCAGGACTGTTTGACATAGAAACCCTGTCTCAAGAAATGAACAAACAAAAAGGGAAGGAAG